TAGCCAGGCATTATGGCACATGCCTGTAGTCCCAGCTACTCGGGAGGCTGAGGCAGGAGAATGGCGTAAGCCTGGGAGGCAGAGCTTGCAGTGAGCTGAGATTGCGCCACTGCACTCTAGCCTGGGCGACAGAGCGATATTCCATCTCAAAAAAAAAAAAAAAAAAAAGGAAGCAGCCCGTCATAAAAGACAACAAACATATGCACATATTGCATGACTGCATTCACATCAAATGTCCAGAACGAGGAAATCTACAGAGACAGAAAGTAGACTCATGGTTGTTTAGGGTGGGGGGAAGGCATTGCTTAGGGACAGGGGTTTAGAGGGCAATAGCTAAAGGCTATAGGGTTTCTTTTTAAGATGTGACAGAAGAGCTGGAGATCGAGTTAATTGCCAATAATTTGATCAATCATGCCTGCATAGAGAAACCTCCATGGAAACCCCTAAAGGATGGGGTTCAGAGAGTTTCCAACACATCAAAGTGCTGGGAGGCTGTCATGCCTAGAGAGGACAGGAGTCTCTGTCCCCTCCCTTATCCCTCGCCCTATTCCTGAGTTGTATCCTTTATAACAGAGCAGTGGTTGTAAGCAAAGTGTTTTCTTGAATCCTGTGAGTCATTCTAGTGAATTATTAGACAAGAGAAAGGGGTCATGAGAACTCACTATGTAAAAAAGCCACTTGGTTAGAAGTATGGGAGACCGGGTGCTTGCAGCTGGCATCTGAAGTGGGGACAGTCTTGTGGGACTGAACCCCTAACCTGAAGGGTCTGTGTTAACTCTGCTAACTCGAGGTAGTCTCAGAATTGAGGTGAATTGTAGGCCTGCCATAGGCAGAACACAGAGTGCTTGGGAGGTGGGAGGTGTGGTTCCAGAGGCTGGTCTCAGGGCTCAGAGCTCAGGCGGACCTAAGTCCAAATCCCATCTCTAGCTTTAGCTGTACGTCCTGAAGATGAAACTCTCTGCTACGCATCAGTTTCTTCCTCTATAAAATGGGCATCATAACAGTCCCCACCCCTCCCAGGCTGTTCTAAGGAGGTGGTGACATCATCGAGTCTATAAGCACTCAGCACAGTGGCCCCAGGAAAACGAGAATGGCCCAAACTCCACTCTGGAAGGTACTGGCTGTGTGATACCAGATAAGTGGCACACCTTCTCTGAGCCTCTGTTTGCTTGTCTATAAAACGGAGATGGATGAAAACGAGCCCTTATGAAACACCCTGCCAGGAGCCAAGTCCTGTGCTCCACAGTTTTTGCCATTGACTCCTTCAGTTCTCACAAGAAGCCTGCAAAGTGGGTACCATCATTAGCCCCATTTTACAGAGGAAGAGACTGAGGCTCAGAGAGGCTGCGCCAGGATTCATACCCAGCAGGCAGACTCCTGACTCTTGGCCATGGCATTAAGTTAGCACGTATGTCTAATGCAATAAAAAGGCATAATAGAGATGTAAGTGCTTTTGAAACTGTCAAACACCAAGCCAATATTAGTGGTGATTGTCATTGCTCTAACAGTTCAAAAACCCTGTGTCCAGTTTTAAGGCCCAAATTCTCCCCAGAGGGAACTATTACTGGTTTTTAAAAATAGGATCGGGGCTCTCAGAATTAGTTAGGAAGCCAGGCGTGCTGAGAAGGGAGTATCATTTTAATGAAAAAAAAAAAAAAGAAACCTGATTAATGAAAATGATTCTTAATATATTTCAAAATGATCTGTTATGACACAAAGCAAAGACATTTATATACGACTTTGAAATTCTTAATAGCTGATTTTAGAGCAACCTATTATGAAATCTTTCAAAGCAGAATCTATAAGTAAGTAAATCACCAGGCAGGCCTCCCAGGCAGACTGACGGCAGCTCTTCTTAAAATAATTTATGAGGTGGGGTGGGGGGAGCACTAGCAGAAATTATTGCCATCATCAAGTATTAATAAAATATTTATAAAAGTGACTTTCTCTTATCGTCAGATGCACTGATGTGATAGGTCAGGTCCTTAAGCCCACATCAGAGGGGGGTCCCCCACTTTGCCCCAGGAGGAGAAACTCGGGAATGAAATTGGACTCCTTCACTTCCCTGGTGACAGGCTAACAAGCCAGGGGGCTCCCTTAGTTTCTGGATAAATATCTCAACTTCCTTGTCTCTTGGATAGGACAACCAGGAGGCATATTCCTCAGAGTCTCCCAGGGGTCCCCAGCAAGACTGAGCCTCAGTTTCCCAGGGGTAAGCCACTCCTTCATGCACCTTGTACTTCCTGCCTTCCCTCCCCTGTGTCATTTTCCCATTCCCCTGTCACAGCCTTCTGGGGTCCTCCCCCAAATATACAACATGTTTCCACATCTCTGTCTCAGGGTCTGCTCCTGACTCAGGTTGGCCTCAGTGACCAGGAAGTTGAGTGAGAGACATCACAGTTCCCTGAGCAAAGTAGTACTGATGCCCAGACAGCCAAGTGCTGAGCATGGCCCATGGCTGATTTTTTTTCAATCATTTTGGGGGTACAGGTGGTTTTTGGTTAAGTTCTTTAGTGGTAACTGATTTTAGTACACCCAACCCCCGAGCAGTGCACATGTACCCAATATGTAGTGTTTTATCCCTCACCCCCCTTAACCTCCCCGACCCAAGTCCCCAAAGCCCATTATATCATTCTTATGCCTTTGCATCCTCATAGCTTAGCTCCCACCTGTAAGTGAGAACGTATATTTGGTTTTCCATTCTCAAGTTACTTCACTTAGAATAATGGCCTCCAGCTCCATCCAAGTTGCTGCAAAAGACATTATTTCATCTTATTTTTATGGCTGAGTAGTATTCCATGGTGTGTGTGTGTGTGTGTGTGTGTGTGTGTGTGTGTCATTTTTTTTGTGTGTGGTTTTTTTTTTTTTTTGAGACGGAGTCTCACTCTGTCGCCCGGGCTGGAGTGCAGTGGCCAGATCTCGGCTCACTGCAAGCTCCGCCTCCCAGGTTCACGCCATTCTCCTGCCTCAGCCTCCCAAGTAGCTGGGACTACAGGCGCCCGCCACCTCGCCCGGCTAGTTTTTTGTATTTTTTTAGTAGAGACGGGGTTTCACTGTGTTAGCCAGGATGGTCTCGATCTCCTGACCTCGTGATCCGCCCGTCTCGGCCTCCCAAAGTGCTGGGATTACAGGCTTAAGCCACCGCGCCCGGCCATCACATTTTCTTTATCCACTCATTGGTTGATAGGCACTTAGGTTGGTTCCATATCTTTGCCATTGCAAATGTGCGTGGATGATTTTTGGAAAGACAGGTGGCATTTTTTTTCATATTTGCCCCAGCCCAGTATGTCTGTCCTTGGCTTGGATCAACTGTGGAATCGCCATCTTACTTACTCCTGACTCAGTATGACTTCTAGAAATTCCCAAAATCAAAACAGTGGGTTAATGTATGTGGCTCAAATGGATGAGAATCAAAGGAATCGGACCCAGGGCCTGGGAATGTGGGGACGATGGAAAGGATGCACCAGCACCTTCTCGAAGATTTTGCTGCCCCCTAAGGTAACAGCCCAGAACGTCAGCCAGAATCCAGGCACAGTCCCAGGACAGACCTCAATTCACACAGGTGTTCATTCAATAAGAAACTTCCAGTTCTATGTTCTGGACCCAAAGGAAGCCACCAGCCACTGAAAAGAGCTAGACAAAGTCACAACCATAATACAAGGCACCAAAGACTCCATGAAGGCAGAAACCCTTGCTCTTCATCCTCACTCTTTCCCCAGAACCTTATGTATTGACAAAAGAGGGAGCAGAAGAGACAGGTTAGGGAAGTGAGGAGCTTTGAATGCCAAGCCAAGGAATTTTATTTGATTTAGAGGCAAGGAAAAGCCTCAGGAGGATTCTAAGCAGGGGAATGACAGTATGGGTCTGTGTAGTAGAAAGGAACCTGATGGTCATGATGAGAATGGGTAGAAGGAAGAATGAAGGCATCAGCAAGGAGGTTACTGCACCCATCCAAGCACACACACGTGCACAAAGGTAAACACCGCGTGTAAGGTGATAACAGTAAGGACAGAGAAACTAGGACAGAAATGATGTCACAGAGACTATCTCTGGAACATGGTGAATGATTGGATAGGGAGAGGGTAAGGACTTGGGGGAGGGCAGGAACCACTTGGAAGTCCAGGTCAAAATAGGGAAAATCAGCAAGCAGACACTTAAGGATGGGATAAGAATATAAGATCAGTTTCAGGGCATCTCCAAGATGTCTAGCTAGAAATGCAGCACCTTGGCTGGGTGCAGTGGCTCATGCCTGTAATCCCACCACTTTGGGAGGTCAAGGCAGGAAGACTGCTTGAGCCTAGGAGTTTGAGACCAGCCTGGGCAAAAAAATGAGACCCCTGTCTCTACAAAAAATAAAAAAATTATATTAACCAGGCAAGGTGGTGCACACCTGTAGTCCCAGCTACTCAGGAGGCTGAGGCAAGAGGATTGCTTGAGCCCAGGAGGTAGAAACTGCAGTGAGCTATGATCGCACCACGACTGCCCAGCCTAAACAACAAAGCAAGACCCTGTCTCAAACCATAAAAATTTAAAAAATAAAAAGAAACACAGAACCTTTACTGCACAGACCCAACCTTCCCTTCCATATTCTAGAGCTGCTCTCCCGTACTGCCAGTACAGTAGCCACTCCCTACCTATGACTACTTACATTTAAATTAACTAGAATTCAATACAATTAAACATTCAACTCCTCAGTCGCACTACTGTATTTCAAGTATTCAGTAGCGGCCTGTGGCTAGTGGTTACTGCACTGAACAGCAGTAATCTCCATCACTGCAGAAAGTTCTTGTGGACAGTGCTGGTCTAGAAAGTTTGCTTGAAACGCCAGCCCTGTGTCCTCCTCACGACGCCTAGTTTCAGCAGCCTCCCCGAGAGCAGTCCCAGAGACACAGAAGATGACAGATTGACCCTGTTCCCACCTCTCCGAGAGAGGGGCCTTGTCAGGCACCTGCCAAAGGAGACAGCTGGCCTCCCAGGTGAGCTCGGCAGGAAGGACGTACCTTTGCAGGCCCCCGCCGCGCCCAGGTGGTAGATGGCTGCCAGGACCCGCCAAATGGCCCGCTGCTCGCTCTCTGAGATGCCCAGCGTCTCCATGGCACCCTGGAGCTGGGCAAAGGCAGCTGCCGCCTTCTGCTTATCTTCAGGCTGGGAGCAAAGGGAGAGAGAAAGAAAACAAGGCCATCACAACGGAGAAAACACAGACTCACAACTTGAAGCTGAGCTCCGTCTCGGAGGCATGTGGGGGTCATGTTATCGCCACAGTAAATTACCCACAATTAAGCTGAGGAGTATTGACAGACGAACTCAGGCGACTGGGAAAGTTATCCAAATCATTTTTCTCTGACTTTGAAATGCAGTGTGGCTTTTATTCATTCACGTGTGCACACATTACAGATTTATGGAAGCTCTGCACTATGCAGGCCTCTGGTCTGGAGATGCAAAGATGAGCAAAGCCCAGACCTTGACTTTGAGGCCCTCTCAAGGTAGAAATGGAAAGAGACATAAAAGCAACTAAGTGTGAAAAGGGCCAAGTGGAAGGTAGGCTATGGGTACAGGTTGATAGGTAGGCTATATGGCGTCTATAGGTAGGGTCTAGAGGTAGGCTCTGTAGGGTAAGCTGTGCTACAGGTCTATGCAGAGAACCATGGGACATCAGAGGAAGAATGGGTAATTAATCCCACCCAAGACAGCCAAAGACAATAGCATAGAGCAGATGATCAAACTGTGATAGAAGTTTGGAAGATAAACAGGCAGAGTTGGCCAATTTAATACAATAAAAAGTCCCAACAGGCAAAGGGAACCACAGGAGCAAAGAGGATTTGGGGAGACCATAGGTGGTCCAGGGAAGCAGTTATTTTTGTTTTGTTTTGTTTTGTTTATTTTTGAGACAGTGTCTTGCTCTGTTGCCCAGGCTGGAGTACAATGGCACGATCTCAGCTCACTGTAACCTCCGCCCCCGCCGGGCTCAAGCGATTCTCTCACCTCAGCCTCCTGAGTAGCTGGGATTACAGGCACCCACCACCATACCCAGCTAATTTTCATATTTTTAGTAGAGACAGGGTTTCACCATGTTGGCCAGGCTAGTCTCGAACTCCTGACCTCAAGTGATCTGCCCACTTCGGCCTCTCAGAGTGCTGGGATTACAGGCGTGAGCCACCGCGCCTGGTCTGGAAGTAGTTATTTTTGGAGGTGGGTCAGATAGAGATGGGGAGAAGATAAAGCTGGAGAAACTGGCATGGGCCACCCTTGAAGACCTCGACCATGACACTAAAGGGTGTGGCCTTTAAACTGCAGTCATGACTGGCAAATACTGATATGTGCTCCCACTATATTCCTGAGTTCATAACGGACATCATTAATCAAGATCCCACAGCAAGCCAGTGAGTCCAGATTCCTTTCAGGACATCGCTTCTTGCAGCCACCACCAACGTGAGCTTTCCCACTAAAGGAAATGGCACTTGTTTTCTGTCTCCTGTGCAGCAATAGAAAACTGCTAATTTTGTTTGTTTTAGACAGGGTCTCGCTCTATGGCCCACGCTGGGGTATAGTGGTGTGATTATAGCCCACTGCAGTCTCAAACTCCTGGGCTCAAACGATCCTTCCACCTCAGCTTCCCAAGTGGCTGGGACTACAGGTGTAGACTACCATGCCCAGATGATTGTATTTTATTATTATTTTTTTAGAGATGGGGTCTCACTATGTTGCCCAGGCTGGTCTTGAACTCCTGGACTCAAGCAATCCTCCCACTGTGGCCTCTGAAAGTGCTGGGATTACAGGCGTGAGCCACTGCACCTAGCCTACCAAAGATTTTAACAGAAGGAAACAGAAAATGACATGATCAGATGTTTACGGGTTGTAGGATTTTTTTTAAGATTTATGATCCCAATTATGTTTGATTGAATATTAAAATTAGTCTGAAACTACTATACACACACCATCTGGCCAAGGAGACTCAGCCCCAGAAGCCTGCTGGGTGGAAAGGAAGTGAGCTGGGAACGGGAATTCTTTTGTCAATAATCCACCAGCTGATAATGAGAAACTGATTTGCACTCGGCCTGCTTAGAGAACTTGGGTGATGAACTGCAGGCTGTTAAAGCCAACAGGTCTTTGACTTTTGTAGCGTCCAGTGCCCAGAGAGGGAGTGACACTTGCCCAAGGTCACACAGCAAATTAATATCAGATACAAGACTAGAAGCAGGCTTTTCAGACTCTTGGACTGATTCCCAGTCCAAGATACTTGTCTCCTCCACTCAAGCCACTTCCTCTAACTGGGAAACGTGCAAGAATCATCAACCAATTGGGATGACATCAAAGCATACAATGACATTAAAAGATTTGCTTGGGAAACATTTCAGTTAATACCAAAAGCATGTTCCACTGATCCATCATATTTCTGGACCGCCACAGGATCACAAAATCCCTAGCAACCAGGAGCTCAACCTAGCAACTGCGGCTGGAGCAAACAGAGGGACGGAAGGCATCTTACCAACATACTCAGTTATCTATGAGATCTCAAAGTGGCAGAGAAAGGACGCCCAGGACAGCGCCCACACATTTATTATGGCTCCCACTGTCACCTATGAACATTTGACTTTAAATTACAGAAGGACTCCATCATCTACCAGGTAGCTCGAGTGAAAAGAAGAATGAGAAAACTTCCACTAAAGCTCATTTGCTCCTTTCTCTTCCTCGTCCCCTCCCAATGTCTTTTTCCTCTTTTTTTTTTTTTTTTTTTTTTTTTTTTTTTTTTTTTGAGACGGAGTCTCGCTCTGTCGCCCGGGCTGGAGTGCAGTGGCTGGATCTCAGCTCACTGCAAGCTCCGCCTCCCGGGTTCACGCCATTCTCCTGCCTCAGCCTCCCGAGTAGCTGGGACTACAGGCGCCGGCCACCTCACCCGGCTAGTTTTTTGTATTTTTTAGTAGAGACGGGGTTTCACCGGGTTAGCCAGGATGGTCTCGATCTCCTGACCTCGTGATCCGCCCGTCTCGGCCTCCCAAAGTGCTGGGATTACAGGTTTGAGCCACCACGCCCGGCCCCAATGTCTTTTTCTTAATAGAAGACATGGATCAATAAATATATATGTTTCTGATTCAAAATGATTAAGATCAGGAAAACATTCACAGTTCCTTAAACTTCCAGAGAGCCAATTGTTCTTCAAACACCTCTGCAGAGTGCCCTGACAAAAGAAACTCTTTGGATCAAAATCATGAAAATAGATCCGGACGCGGTGGCTCATGCCTGTAATCCCAGCACTTTGAGAGGCCGAGGTGGGCGGATCATGAGGTCAGGAGATGGAGACCATCCTGACTAACACGGCAAAACTTCGTCTCTACTAAAACTATGAAAAAAAAAAAAAAAAATTAGCCGGGCATGGTGGTGGGAGCCCGTAGTCCCAGCTACTCGGGAGGCTGAAGCAGAATGGCGGCAACCCGGGAGGCAGAGCTTGCAGTGAGCCGAGATCGCGCCACTGCACTCCAGCCTGGGCGACGGAGTAAGATACTGTCTCAGGAAAAAAAAAAAAAAAAAATCATGAAAATAGAAATAAGTCAAGTGAACGGAATAAGTCAACTGACAACCCAAACGTCTATCAGCAGGAGAAGGAAGCCACAAAGAGTGGTATACCCAGAGCACAGCGAAGGGGCGCTAGCTACACAGCAATAAAAAAGAACAAGCCACACGCAGCCACATATAGGCATCTCACAGACCTAGTGTTGAGTCAGAGAAGCCAGGCACAAAAGCCTGCATCCTGTGTGCTTCTGTTTATGTGAAGTTCAAGAATGGGCGACACTAACATATGGTAAGAGAAGTCGGGACAATGAATCTGAAGTGAGATGGGTACCTCCGATGGAGATTGCCTGGGAGGGGGCTGAAAGGAGCCTTTGATGGAATGAGGAATGTTCTGTATCTTGATATGGAGGATAGTTGCTGGTGTGTGTTTAATAATTACTAACATTGGGCCAGGTGCGGTGGCTCACGCCTGTAATCCCAACACTTTGGGAGGCCGAGGCAGGCAATCACAAGGTCAGGAGATCATGACCATCCTGGCTAACACAATGAAAAAACCTCATCTCTACTAAAAAAAAAAAAAAAAAAAAAAAAAAAAAAAAAAAATTAGCCAGGCGTGGTAGCCGGAGCCTGTAGTTTCAGCTACTCTGGAGGCTGAGGCAGGAGAATGGCATGAACCTGGGAGGCGGAGCTTGCAGTGAGCCGAGATTGAGCCACTGCACTCCAGCCTGGGTGACAGAGTGAGACTCCGTCTCTAATAAAAATAATAATAATAATATTAACATTAGCCAGCTGTGGTGGCTCATGCCTGTAATCCCAGCACTTTGGGAGGCTGAGGTGGGAGGAGTTGACTAGCCTGGGCAACAGAGTGAGACCCTGTTTCTACAATAAAATTAAAAATCTGCCAGGCATGGTGGCATGAGCCTGTAGTCCCAGCTACTTGGGAAGCTGAGGCAGGACGATTGCTTGAGCCTAGGAAATCAAGGTTGCAGTGAACCCTGATCACACCACTGCACTCCAGCCTGGGCGAAAGAGAGAGAGAGAGAGAGAGACCGGGAGGGGTGGCCTGTAATCCCAGCACTCTGGGAGGCCAAGGTGGGTGGATCACGAGGTCAGGAGATCGAGACCATCCTGGTTAACACAGCGAAACCCCGTCTCTACAAAAAATACAAAAAATTAGCCTGGTGTGGTGGCGGGCGCCCGTGGTCCCAGCTACTCAGGAGGCTGAGGTGGGAGAAAGGCGCAAACCCGGGAGATGGAGCTTGCAGTGAGCTGAGATCGCACCACTGCACTCCAGCCTGGGCGACAGAGCGAGACTCCATCTCAAAAAAAAAAAAGAGAGAGAGAGAGAGAGAAAGACAGAGACAATATAAACATCGAATTGTACACTTAGAATTAGTATACTTCATATACTTTGTGTTTTACCTCAATTTTTAAAAATCAATGGATAAAAATATTCAAATTGTAAGATGCCCAGGTTTGTCTGAGGTAAAGTCTCAAGGTCAATCAAAGTCTGCAGGTAATTTAGTAAAAGAAAATAAAATCCAAAATGTTCTCTCTCCATTAAACCAGGCTGAGTTTAGAGTGCCCAGGAGATTCCTACAATTCAGAGAGAGGCCAGGTTTGGATTTGGAGTCAGA